TTAGAACCAATTATTAGTGAGATGATAGCAGTAAACCATATGGGTTACAGTGCGAGAGTAACTCGGGTATATAGAAAATGCCCAATAAATATTCAAGGGATTCTGTTTTCGACAAACTTAATGGAGTTACCTTTCGATGAGCTTGAAATCATTTTGGGAATGGATTAGTTGTCTCCACATCATGGATGGGTCGATTTTTACAAAAAGCAATTATTTCTAAAAGATGCGGAAGGCTCAGAAATCGTAGTGATCGGCGAAAAAGCTAAATCACCATCCAATGTGATATTAGCCATGACTACAAGGAAAATGATATCAAAAGGATGTATAGCTTTCCTAGCTAATGTGATAGACACTCGAGTACCGGAAGTGATATTAAATGATATCCCAATAGTTAAGGAATTTCTAGAGGTTTTTCTAGAAGAATTATCGGGTTTACCTCCAAACTGGGAAGTAGAATTCAAGATTGAGGTTTACCTGGGTACCGAACCTGTTTCTATGGCTCCAATGGAGTTAAGAGAATTAAAAGCCCAATTACAAGAGCTACTCGATAAGGATTTGTGAGACCTAGTGTTTCTCCTTGGGGAACACCTATCCGGTTTGTGAAACAAAAAGAGGGTATATGCGATTATGCATAGACTACCGTTAGTTAAACAAGGCACCAATAAAGAATAAGTTCCTCTTCTGACGATTGATGATTTGTTCGATCAATTGAAAGGCGCAACAGTGTTCTTTAAGATAGACCTAAGGTCGGGATACCACCAATTAAAGATAAAAGAGAATGATATTTCAAAGACAGCTTTCTGGACTCGGTATGAACACTATGAATTTGTGGTATTGTCATTTGGATTGACTAATTCTCCTGCAACATTTATGGAATTGATGAACCGAGTATTCCAACCTTACTTAGATCAATTCATGGTGGTATTTATAGACGATATTTTGGTGTATTCCAAGTCAAGAGAGGAACATGTTGCCCATATTCGAGTGGTTCTTCAGACACTTCGAGAAAAGAATATGTATATTGAATTGTCCAAGTGTGAATTTTGGTTAGTTGAGATTTCTTTCCTTGGTCATATAGTCTCCGCAGAAGGCATAAGAGTAGATTCTAAAAAGCTTCAAGCTATAGTGGATTGGCAACCGACAAAGAATGTTTTTGAAATTCAGAGTTTCTTGGGTCTTGATGGTTATTATAGACAGTTCGTGAAGAACTTCTCAATGTTAGCTATGTCGCTATATTTTTTAAAAAAATTCATGTTTTAAAATAGTATACATCATCTTCAATCTTTTACATAACACACTCATTTCATCTCTTACACAACACACTCATATTTGATCTTTTACACAACACACTTCTTTTATCTAACCAAATACATTTCAAACAATAAGCAACAAATTTTTCACAGTTGTCCATTATAATGGCAAAATTCTACAAACTGATGTTGGTGTCGTGTATAAGTCAGACATGCCCACAATATGATATTCCCTGTAGATGTATCTCATCACCAAATGAAGCAAAAAATTGAGAGAAAACTTGGAGCTTATGTTTCATGTTTAAGTTATCAGTATATGATCTCCTCCAATCCAATCACATATAGAAAAGTCTAGCTTGATAATGATGAAAATGTCGCTATTATGGTTGGACTTCATCAAATAATAATATGGTGGATATTTACGTCGAAACAACGATTGCAACTGATATTCTGACCTCATCAGTACCAGCTCGAAGAATAGAAGAAGCATGACCCTCTGAACCACATGCAAGTGATGATGATGATAACCTTATTGGACGGTTCAGTGAAAGCCTTGCTGAATTTAGCGAGGATGATGAAGATATTGTTCCGTTTCTAGAAGATGACGACACACCTTTAGTTGATGATTCCGATGTTTTGAGACTGCTTCAGAGGGACAAGTTTTTGGATGTTGAGGCTAAGTATGGGAGGCAGCTCTTTCGCGATGTCAAGATTGCATAATGCTCCAAAATGTTTGGGTAAAACACACCCAAAACCTAAAATACGTCACCATGATTTCCTCGGTATCATCATCCAGTTGCAATGCATGGATTAACTACGATGCTATGAGGAATCCTGAAATATATGATATGCCAGAGTTATGTGTTGCTCATTGGGGTTCTTAAGACGAACGCTCATCTGAGTTGGTCATTGGGTCTCAATTTGAAACAAAAAAGAGACACAACTAGTAATCAAGAAGTACTGCATCAAAGCTCATCTTCAATTCTATGTTGCGGAGTCGGATCAAAAGACTTATTTCTTAAGGTGTATACACCATGATGTTGGCTATAAATAGAGGATACGAGTATCTACCTACAACGGAAGATGTTGTGGGAAGTCACAAGGTTCAATGCACAGAACGCATGTACAATGACCTCCTTGACACAAGACCACAAATATTTAGATTCGAATGTCATATACTCCTATGTCAAGCTGTTGGTGGAAAAAAAATCCAAGAGTACTCGTTTCTGTGTTAGTGACATCTATTCGAAATACAATTGGTTATATTCTGACTTATTATAAGGCATGGATGGCTAAATAGAAAGCAATGATCTTGTTGTATGGTGATTGGGATCAGTCATATAATAAGCTACCACGTCTATTGCAAAGAATGAAATTTTTCATCCCTGTAACCATTTTTAGTTTCTATACTCTTCCTGTAGTCATATTTTAGGGAGAAGTTATTCTTGGGAAGAGAATTTTGGTGACTTGTTTTGGGCGTTTAAGTCGGCTATTAAAGGGTTTAGATTTTGCAAACAAATGATTTAAGTCGATGGTAATTTTATGTATGGGTTCTACAGACACGTCTTGATGATAGCCATTGTATAAGATGGAGACATAAATATTTTACCCATTGTTAGGCTCCCATGCGCTCATGCTGTTGCTGCATGTATGCACATCAATGTTGACCCATACTTATATGCAGATGATTGTTATAGCTTGCACACTATGCTCAACATTTACAGTTGTAACTTCAAGTACCTCCCAAATGAAGCATACTGGCCTACATGCACAATTTATGAGGATTAGTTGCCAAGTTCTCAATTGCGTAGGAAGTTACAGGGTCGACCTGAATCTAGTCGAATTCATACTGATATGGACGACCCTCAATGAAAACCAGTTCTACCCAAACTTTGTGGCCAATGTAGAGGTGAATGCCATAATATAAAACATTGTCCTCATCTTCCAAAATATCAAGATGGACGCTAAAATAGGCATTAAAAATATTATGTTATCTTTTTACTTTTACTCTTTTAACTATGTTTTTCACTAGGTTTTTAGTTTGTACTATAACTATGTTTTTTTAACTTGCACTATTTCCACTATGTTCGTGAGTTTTTTTAGTTGAACATCATTTACTTTAAATTTTCACTTCAAATTTTATATAATTGCAAACTATTACTAAATAAGTTTACTTCATTAAATAATTACTTAATTAATAAAGACAACTTCATACATAAACTAAAACCATACAAATCAATATTTGTACATATGTCATTTTCTATTTTTTTAGATCTCTCTACAATTCGTTCACTACGTCAATTAAGACACCTTTGTATTTGTCTTTCTTCGTCTTCTTCTTCTCAATTTCTATACTAAATTTTTAATTTTTTCTTCCCTCTCAATGATTCGTTTGCTACACCACTTCGGCAAAAAAAAATTAATTTTCAAAAAATAAACAAATTTATTACTTATATTTGCCAACACATATATTATTGATATGAATTTTTATACAATTAAAAGTCGAGTACAAGAACTTAAATAAACAAATTTATTACTTATATTTGTACAATTTTTGACGATGTCGAGGAGTGGTAGAATAATAATGACGTGGTGCTCGTCGATTTCATTGTGGTCGTCTACCTTCGTCTTCTTTCGGTTCCGGTGTACTCAACATTACTCCACCACTTTGATTTACATCTTTGGGTGAAAACGATGGAGTATTCAACGTATTTGACGCCATTATTGACGTCGTCGACTTAAATTGCACATCGAAATTGCCACGAGATTGACCGTATTGAACAAGATGATCCCATGGACCTCTTTATTCCGGTTTTGATGAAAATTGTTGTGAAGGTGGTACTTGATCCCACGAACTTCCTACCCACACCGCTCGACTCTCCATCGATGGTTGATATGGAGAATATCCACCATAACTTTCTTGAGATGAATAATAATATATGAAAGCATAAGATGAAGATGTTGATGAAGATGGTGATTTTTTTTTTACATATTTGGCTTTATTTCCTCCCACTCGGACCGATCCTCTGGCATTTTCAATTATGGTTTTCCATTTGCTTCATAATTTTGGAGGTAGGGATAAACTTTGAAATCAAAATCTTTGGGTTGTGCCTCAGAACGATTAAACAAATGTAAATGTCTATTTTGCCATTGTTGTATGAACATAGAATGCTTCCTCGGCCAATCTTCCCTATGCTTACCACGAGCATCTATTTTATGAAAATTGTCCATGTTATATATGGACATTTTCATCGGTTGGTGAAACTCAAATTGTCACAAAACTCTATCGGCGGCATAGATCTCAACAATCACAAAGTGGAGCAATGGTGTTACAGCACACCATGTCTCCGCTCCTTGAAAGAAAAATGGTGGTAGACACTGTTGGATCTCCGACTCACAATAAGGCATCCAATTAAATTGTCAAAAGTATTTTGTTAGTATAATTAAACAATTAATATTACAATTTTCAAAGTTAATGCACAAATTATTAATATTTACCGCATGTCAATATCAATTCTCATCCAGATATCTACTTTGGTTGCATCCGAAAACTTTGTATCAGTTATTCAGTGTCATCATCTAAAAAAATTACATTATTTATTGTCATTTTAAAATATTTAAATAAATATTATAAAATATCAAAACTTTAAATATAGGAATTTACCTTGTGGCGAGAAAAAAACTCTATATGAGCGGATGTAATAGGCGCAAAAAACGGAAGACGATACCATACCCATGATTGGAGCAAAACTAAACAATTTGCCTTGCAAAGTTCACGATACAAAAAGCTAAAATTGCATAATCCCAACTATATTGGCGACATACAGTGAAATTCTCCAATACCCGAAGATATTGGGTCTGCACCGAATTGCCCGATTTATACGATAGCAAGATCCCCCCAATCAACGCCATAAAATATGCTCGAGCTGCATATATCACTTCTTGCTCCGTTGATTGTTCATCTACTCTAAATTCTCTTTCCAACCACGTCATCCATATCCGCATCCCATCAATGACATCAAGTAAATCAGAAATAACTGTATCACGCACATAATTGTTGCGAAGCACCAATGGCATACCATTAATTGGAACACCAAGTTGATACACAACATCTTCTAATGTTATCGTCACATCACCACAAGGAAAATGAAACGTATGCGTTTTGGGCCTCCAACACTGAATCAACGCCGATATCAGTGCTAGCATCACCTTAAAATCATGAAGAAACGTCGCTTTATATAATCTGGATTGTTGAAGATATATCACAATCCGCTGATATGGCTCTTCATTCATCATTCCTCGATGACGAATGTCTCGTTCTTCTCGCTACAATTTGAAAATAAATTATTTAATATAATTATATAAATAATTATTATTAATACTATAATTTTGTCAAAACTAAAATGAAATAAAAAAATAAATTTACCGTAGTCAACTCGGTCAATGAAATATGAACATCATCAAGACATAAAATTTCTTCTCTTGAAGCTATTTCTACACAAAATCTTCAACAAAAAAGTATTTACTCTCAATAGGATGTTTGATTTCAAGTGAGAAATCAATACAACAAAAACCTCTATTTACTACTCTATCCAACGGCTATAAACTGCTAGTTTTTTCAAATTAAAAATAGCCGTTGGAACTTGTCACATTGGCGTGACGTGTTCATTGAATTAAAAAAAAATTGCCCGTTCAACAACGACCACCCCAACGGTCTAAAAATTCAAATTTATACCTCGTTGAAACTCGTCACCATAGTGTGAAGAGTTCCATTTGCCTTAAAATATTATATTTTTTTTACAAATTTATTAAAAATTTCCAAAAAAATATTTTTTAATTAAAACTGATCACGCGGGCATGACGAGTCTCTTAATATATATTAAATATATTCGAGTTATGGAACCCACAGCCCACGACCCATTAAAAAATATATCACATAAAACTCGTGACGCTAGCATGAAGAGATCCATGTCTACTATAACATTTACCGTAAATCCCAAAATAAAATCCAATATGCCCTATTGAGCTAAATAAAGGGTATGCTTGGATTATTTCCCAATTATGCCTTATGACTTCAAACTTTTTCAAATCTTTTCTAATATATTATTTTCGGCTTCTAAAATCACTCCATATACTTCGAAAAAAGTCTTGGCGACACCTTTCTTTGCAAAGTGAACCGCCATAGAATTGTTTTTTCCACGAATATGAATGAACCGAACCGAACCTATTTTTCTGACCAATTTATCAAAATCCAGCAACAACGGCCACCATCGCCAAAGGCGAAACTCGCTTCACTAAACCAGACCTCCTGCTTTACCATTCACATTCGAAACTCTAAAATATACTCAAGCGTAACAAAAATATCAAATTTCATTACATGTGAAAGACGATTTCTTAGTTTCTTGTAAGAAAACAATATCCACCTTCTAAATGGCTATCCCTTGTTCCTATATGTAATGGAGTAAGGGGGAGGTAAGATAGTAGGCTACCCCCAACATTTGGTTGAGAGCAACCTCCAAATTATGAAATGACTTCCATGAAACTCGATCCCACAACTTTAAAGTTAAAAACCTTGTGCTCTACCAACTGAGTTGGATGGTCATTTCAATATCCACCTTCTAAACTCCCAGTAAACATCTCTCCGCGGAAATTTTCACCTGTGACACCAGCCCTCTTACAATCCAAGTAAGGACTCGCATCTTCACTCCACTTGCCCTCTACTCCTAGTGTTTACTAAATCACTGCCATTAGAGCAAAGTCCCTCAACGCTTCGCTCGTGTCCCTAGATATTTCCACTTCAAGGCTCCTCCCTAATTCGATAGTTTTCCTTGCCTCATATTTTTGCATCTCCAAATGTTTTAACATATCTGAATCGGATATGGATCTACCCAATAACTTCGAGGAAACATACTCCTTTGATTTCTTCTTCTCCTTTCTACTTGCTCGATCTCTCTTCTTCCTTTCCTTAACTGAAAGGGTTATGTTTTGCAAATCCCATAAAGATCAACACCTTTTCCCTGTTTTCTTCCTCTGAGCCAATTTTGGAAAAAATGCTTCAGTTTCTGTCTCAATATAATTTTCCTCCGTTTCTCCTGTACCTTCACTCACTCTGTTCTGAATGTCCACACTGTCCTCCCAACAAGATTTCTTCTTCAGCGACGTTCTCCCTTTACAATCTTCTCTACTATTAAACAAAGATTTGAGGCCCAAAGATTTTAAATCTTTTTTCCCCTATTAGTTATATTTCTTATTTCACCAGAAGTTTAACCTTTCATCATCTATCACCCCTCTTAACCCATTTCCTTTAACATAAGTTTCCCCACACAGCCCACCCATTTTATTAGACCTTATCTCATCACTCGACCCAACAATCTCATTATTGGTCTTAGTTATCACTTCTAACCAACTTTCCTTATTTTGATTTGTTAACTACGTTTCCTTTTTTCCAAAGTTTGGGTTGTCCCCAAGCGTCATTTTTTGGTTAAAGGCACAGTTATCTAAAAAATACCTTCCTCCATAGCAGTGCATGCCCCTACTTGCCTAGCCGAATCATTTTCCTCCTTCCCCATGTTCATATCATTTAATGCTATGTCGCCTAAATGCTTCCTTCTCTCCTCTGTTAATTTCGATTGCTGGTTCCGGCCAACTTCTGATGAAGGATCCGATGAGCTCACTTTCTGTTTGTTCCTTGCTCCCATTTTCTTCTCTGAAACAATGTTTTGAGGTTCGACTTGAGTTTCCGAGAGGCCCACTTCCACCACTCTAATATTAGATTATGCTTTCAGCTTCTATGTCCACCATTTTATCAATTCTCATTGCATTACTTGTTGTTATTAGTATCGTCATCTTCTCGCCATTTTTGGAGCCTTCAGCGTTTAATCCTAAAGCTTCAAAATTACCCCAAAGATTAGCTACCCTCTTAAAGGTAACATAATTCCAACATTGTAGAGGCAATCCTAACACCTCTTAACCATGTTGCCCTTTCTATTGGGATTAGCTCTTCTTAACATGATCTAACCTCACTGAATATCTTATTCAAATATGACCAATTCAAATCCTCCAATAACAAAACAGTTCATCATCCTTATTCGGTATCAAAAACGTTTTCCACCTATTCTTTTAACTTTAATCTCCCCAAGCCCCGACTCGTGTAACCTCGTTTGGATGCTTCTTGCAGTACAAACTATTGACGTTACCCCTACCATGGATCTTTTGAGTTTTCCTATTTCCTCTTATTCAACATAACCTTTTATTCTTTTATACTTTTGTTAATTCGGAGCAGAACACTCCCTCTTTTCTCCTAAAACGAATTAAGTCTTATCCGTACATCGATTCTTAAAATTTGATATTCTTGCTCTCCATCAGTTGCTGCTGAAATTCCTTTGAAGTTTACTCGTCGTCTACTATGACACTGCTTCACCAGTCGAAACTTCCCCATAATCTAACCTCGTTGCATTGCATTTACGTATACGCCAAATGAATTTCTTTCATCTGTGTTGTGGTGTTGAGATTTCATACAATAACAAAGTTTGAAGAAAAATTATTGAAATTTGCATCATTATTTTCTGATTGAAAAATTGTTTATTAAGTAGATAGGTTAAAAAATTACAGTAATCAATGGTAGATCAATTAACATTCAACCAAATTCTAGACTAAAATTGGATAATGTTTTTTTCCTTTTAGACAGATATTTGTAGTTTCAACAAATGAACACTAATTTATAATAATCATCAGTTAATTAAATCACGCTTATTAATAATACAGTTTCAACTAAACCACACTAATCTATAAATATTTGACACGTATTATTTTGTTAAGTACATTTTTATTTATAAAGAATTTGTGTAATTTAATTTATGTGTTTGTTTTGATAATTTGCATCAAATTTATTTTGGTGTAGATGACCAATGTACCAGCATCTGTTGAGGGCATTGTTTCATCCCTTACAAATTCTACAATTTCAACTACCGCAGCTTTGGTCAAATCAGCAACACAAAAGGAGCTGCAACTAAAAGAAAAGCCTTTGGTTTAAGGTTAGAAATATGGTCTCATTTTACTAAGTTTGTCAATAGTGAGGGTGAAAGTAATGGTAGATGCTATTATTATGATAAAGAATTTTTTTGTGATGGAAAAAATAGAATTGGTTCATTGACATATCACATGAAGCAATAAAAGAAGAATCCTAAAATTATTGTTGACTCTAGTCAAGATAATCTAGTGTTACGTAATAAGGGCCCTAAAGGGGGAGTGAAACATCTCACAACTTGAAAAATCGATCAGGAAGCAATTAGGAAAACCTTAGCCCAAATGATTATAATTGGTGAATTTCCTTTCAATTGTTATTTGAGAGTGAAAGATTTAGTAAAATTATATCTATGGCATGCCCTAAGTTTTGTATTCCTTTAAGATTTACTATAAATAGAGATGTCAATCAGTTGTATTTGGATGAAAGGGTTAAACTGAAACAATATTTGAAAAATTCATGTTCTAGAATTTATTTAAGTACTGATACATGAACCTCTATCCAAAGAGTCAATTATATGTGTCTCAATGTGTATTTTATTGATGATATATGGAAATAATAAGTTTTTATCCAGTTTTTAATCATAAGGGAGAAGTTATTAGGATGATGATTGAGAAATGCTTACTGGATTGAGTGATTGATAAGTTCTTCATTGTCACTATTGACAATGTAAATTCGAATGATGTTGTTATTGCTTATTTAAGAAAGAAATTTAGTCCTCGAGAGGGTGTTATTGTAAATGGTAATACCATATAAGATGCATTGCACATATTGTGAATTTGATTGTTGTTGAAGGTTTAAAGGAAATGAACAAATCTATTGCACGTGTTAGGGGTTGTGAGATATGTGATCTAATCTCCAGCTAGATTAAAAAAAGTTCATGGAGTGTGTTGAGATGGAAAAAATTGAGAATAAAAAGATGTTATCTCTTGATGTTTGTACTAGGCGGAACCCAACCTACTTAATGTTAGACGTTGCTCATAATTTTGAGAGAGCTTTTGCAGATTTGAGGAGCAAGATACAAATTTTAGGGTTGAACTTGAGTTAGGAGAGAGCTGGTCAACTATAGATGATTGGGATAGTGGTTAAAAACTTGAGGGATCTCTTGAAACACTTTTATGAAGTCATTTTGCGAGTTCAGGCACTTCATATGTTACACCTAATAATTTTTTTTGATGAACTTACTGAAATCCATCTACTTTTAAGAGATTTTCAATTAAGTGTTGATGTTTCCTTTAGTGCTATGACCATGAGGTTGAAAGATAAATATGAAAATTATTGGGGTGGCATTGAGAAGATGGATATGCTTGTTTTTGTTGTTTGTGTTCTAGATCCTGAACAGAAAATGAGTTATTTTGAATTTTCACTTAGTGAGATGTACGATTCTGATTTTTTTTTCAAGTGATGTAAAAATTAATGGAGACTTTGTATGAATTGTATGATGAGTATAAGCCTAAATTTTTTAATGATGGTAGCCAATTAAGTGTGGTAGTTTCTTTAAGTGAACCACAACAAAAAGTGAAAAGACGTATGAAAATTTTATATAAAAAAGTGTCATTGAAATTGGTGGTGAGAACCAAGCATCTGAATTGGATAAATATCGTTGAGAATTATGATAATGAATTTGATATCTTGTCGTGGTGGAAAGTTAATAGCCCTATATTTTCAGCTCTTTCAAAGATGGTCAAAAATGTGTTAGCTATATTGCTTTCGACTATCGGCGTGTGCTTGATCAATTCAGGAATTCTTTAATTCCTAAAATAGTACAAATCCTTGTTTGTACTCAAGATTATATTCGAAATTCAATGACCAAAGAAGAGATCAAGAAGATTAAAGAAAAAATTCAAGAGCTTGACAAGATTGATAATAGTATACCAATACCTTTATTTATTAATTTTGATTTAATAAATGAATTTTTTAGAGCAATATGGCACACCATTAACCTTTTTAATCATCTGAAAAAATTGAATTTATCTTGGAATTCATTACATCCAACCCTCAAAAACTTTTGCACTCTGAGTATGAGTTGAAGGGTACGTAAATATTTTTATCTTAATACACACTTATAAATTGTAATAAACTAGTTTGATTTATATTATATATATGATCTTTTTGGTTTGTTGACTTATATTTTCTAATATAACATCTTTTTGTAGAGATGATGCAAATAAAAATATTTTGAGAGGATTCAATCGATGCAAACGAATAATTTTAAAGTATTTTGTTATTTGTGGTAATCTTTTCAGTTGCACCCCTTTCAATTTTTTGAGTTGCAATAACATCATTTTCTTTAATTTTTTAATGTAGTATTTGAGTAAAGTAGACGTAATTTTCAGTAATTCATTGGTAGAAGATCTGGGACTTAACACAGTTGATTAGATATAAAATTTATTTTATTTTTTTGGTAAATAAGGTATTATTAATTCAAATGTACTAGCAACATAACTGATGGAATAATGCGAGCCTCCTTAAACTAAATAAACGCTTATGAGAACGTTTTCCCGGTTAAACAAAACTTAACTGGCCTAACTAACTGAATTCGCCTCATCATGTTGCAGCAGCTCCATTACTTCATTCGGGGGGTGGCAAAGTAATGGACTTCCAAATCACCTTTGTGGCTAGTTTCGCCAAGCAATAAGCCACCCTGTTCCCCTTTCGGGGAATATGATGGAATCTAAGCATCCAATTCTGTTTTATCAGAGTTTGGATATGCAGCAGTAACGATATATTACCTCGACGATTTTCAGTCTTGGAGCAGGCGCACTGCTTCCTTACAATCTAACATAACTTCCACCTTTCGAAATCCTTTCTCCCATGCATGCGATAAACCAATAAACACACCCCATATTTCAGCTTCTGCCATCGTGCATACTCTGATATGCTTACTAAAACCACCTAGCCACCGTCCATCACTGCTTCGGATGACTGCCCCGCAGTAGGCCATGCCGTCGCTTGGGTTTCTTCTTTCCTTAGAATTCAGTTTAACCCACCCAGAACTTGTTTTACACCATTTTACCAGTTTTGCTTCTTCCTCTGTCTGTTCAGTCGATGAATTCCTTCCCAGTAATGCCTCCTTACGGGCTTCCATACATAGTAGCTGCAGTCTTTAACTCTTTTCAATAATGGTTCGACCCTCAGGTGGATTATTGAACACATTTGCGTTTCTATCCAACCATATATGCCACAAGAGAGTTCCAAATAGGATATCCCATTGTTGGAGACTTGGCACGCACCAGGCAGTATCCGTAAGATTGGTGAGCATCCACTCTTTGAATTCCATTGTCATAAATTCATGCAGTTTATTCGCTCGATTGAAAGTTGCCCATATCACTAGGGTTCTCGGACAGCCTCTAAAAACATGATTACATCTTCGCTCGCGTTGAAACTGTTATAACCGTTCTTCGGGTGGGCCCGGAATCGAGTTCCGATTTAAATTTGATGTGATGGAGCCACCATTGATCATTTGAAATTAAGTTGGTCGGATACCTTAATTTACCATTTTATCTGATCTGCGTTTTTATCATAATTGAATCGGATTCGGGAGTCGATTACAGTCATGGAAGGATTAGCACCCATGTACTGCCCTTTCGGTACTAATTTGATTTCTCGGTTGTCTTAATTGCGAAAATTAAAGGTTAAATTAAAATTTTAAAGTTCGACCCAAATTACTTACAT